TTATAAAGTAACAGTCAATAAGTAACAGTCAATAATCTTGTTAAATCCTTTACCAAGAATTGAGGAGTTATTTGCGGCTTTAAGCCGCAGCGGTGGAGAATTTTTTACTTCAAATTGGATCTTACAGCAGCATATAATCAGTTGGAAGTTTCGGAAGAAACTAATAAACTACTGGCTTGAAGTCATAAGAGAATTTATTTTCTCAAAAAGTTTTACCTTTTGGAATCAAACCAGCTTGTTCAATTTTTCAAAGAATTATGGAAAAGATCTTATAAGATAAAAAATGTAATTAATTCATAGACGATATTGTAATTACAGATAAGTAAATAAAGACTAAGGCAAAGGATGGCTAGAGAAAAGCAAATGCAATATTTTTAAGGAAATAGAGAAATTGAGTTTGAGCTAAGAGACTTAGTATATGTGAAATATTATAAGTGTCCAGCGAAGCCAATATGGTGTAAGGCGATTATTAAGAATAAGTTGGCCGTTAGAATGTATTTATGTAAAACGTTGGATGAGAAAGGGTTAATATGGAAAAGATACAGAACAAATTGTTAAGGTAGGAAAATTTTATAGTGAAGAAGAGGCTTATTTGAAGCAAATGAAAGAAGAAAACAAAGGAAAAAAATTGAAAGAGTTAGAAATTGTTAAAGAATGTGGAAATAAAGATAAGCGAGATGTAGCTCAGGAAGAAAAAAGGCTGAGATTAGCGTTATAAATTAAACCTAAAAGCGTAATAAATTAAATCTAAAAGAAGGATTAAATCGGCCGAGAAACTTAATTTATAGCTTAATAAAGACATTAATCGTTTTAAATATTTTTTAATTTTGTTGAGGAGGATATCGGATTAATTCTAATAATTTGGTTATGTTAGGTGGCGCCATATTGGTATAGCCGCCCCGAACCAATAACCACTATACACTCCACTGTCTACATGACAGATTTTTTAACCTCAACAACAGTACAATTATAGAAGTCGTGCACTCCTTTGCAAGGGGAGGGGGAATGAAAATCGCCACGTGGAAAGTTGAAATCTATGTAGAACAGTACAATTATAAACCTTATTTTACTTTTATGATAGATTTCCTAAGTAGTTCATCAGCAAGGCAGAGCAACACTTTTTTCTGCTAGATTCTTTCATACAAAAACGCATCGAATAGACCTAATTTTACTGATTTTTAAGGTGCGGTAACTAAACTGAATAATTACGGTAAATATAATTTATTGGAACTACAGAATTACAATTTACAAATATATATATATATATATATATATATATGTTTATACTTTGCTACATTTAACCTAAACTTAAAAATCTCGAGCAATTATTCAGTTTATTCCTTTGCACCTCAAAAATCAATGAAATTAGACTTCTATTCAAGGCATGTTTGCATGAAACGAAAGAATCTGGCAGAAAATAGTGTTATTTTGCGAACTAGATATTGAGCATTAAACAATTATTGACAATTATTGAAGTTAGGAAATCTGTCAGCCGTGAAATACTACGATGCGAGCATGCGCTGCCGTTACATTCTGATACTTTATAGCCGAATTCACTGCTTTAAAACACAAATTCACTACTTTAAAAATACAAATTTACTGCTTTAAAAACAAAAATTATCTGCTTCAAAAATACAAATTCACTGCTAATGGAAATTTATATAATTTTCAGAGAAAAATATATTTTTTATTTCCTAATCCTAAAATGAAATTAATTTGCAGATATCGACTTGCAGTTGGAAAATAGCATCCGCAACTATAGGTTATTACTTTATCCATAGAAAATATAATTACAATGTTAAAACCATAGAAAATAAAATTACAATGTTAGTTACAATTATTTAATTGTTCCGAAACAATGTATAAATTCCTCTTTTTTATTTAAATTTAAATTAATCTTGTCATCTAACTTTAACTATGTAGTTTGTGCGTCGATTTGAGGCTATATTATGTGCAGTTCATTGACATCTAGAAAGTATATTTCCTGTAGTACAATCTTGATATACTATTATTATAAATGTTTCTATATTTATTAGGAATTTTTTATACAATTTATAATTAATTTAAAGTTCAAAATTACACTTTACTTACAATAAAGAACTACAAGCTAAGTAATTTATAAATATCATATAACTACATAAATTATTAACTAACAAATGTTTTGATCTAGCACGAGATCATCAATGTTGATAACACATTTGAATTTGTGAAACCATAAACGCATAATATAAAATCTATAATTACGTATTATCATAGATTTATGGAGATATCAGATTGATAATTCTAACTTCAAATTAACAGATACACATTAACTCATTGAGAACGATGATGGTTAATAAGAAAATCAATTTTACTGTTTTATATTCAATGACAGATCGTTCTTTATTCCTATACATAAATAGATTACAGACAGACAATTCGACATCCAGGTTTCAGAACACATGAATCTATGACAATGCGGTAATTTGGTAAAACTATTGTATATTACCATGTTCTATTAGAGTTTTTATTTTTCATGATTCATATAGATTTTATATTATGCATTTACAATTTCACAAATATGTTATCAACATTGATAATAATCTCGTGCTAAGTTGAAACGTTTGTTAGTTAATAATTTATGTTTATATGATATTTGTAAATTAACTTAACTCTTAGCTAATTATTGTAATTTCGAATTTTAATCTTTGATCCGCTTCTCACTGTACTAATTTAAACTTAAAATACGTATTAAAATTCGATTCTCGATCCTCAAGTTAATAAATAATTGTAACTAAAGATTTTAACGTTGTAATTGTATTTTATATTTTATTTTCACTAAAGAAAACTGTAATAAAGATCGAAATGTTTGATTTTTTTTATGAAGGATTTGATTTTATTTATGTATTTATATTGACAATTATAAAGTGATATACATCAAGAAGGCATATGTTTTTAGTTTTCATTTAATTGTAATTAATCTTTAACCGGATAAGAGAAACTCGCAAAGCATTTTTTGCGATATTTTTTGTGTTTTCATATTTTGTGTATGTATATACGTTAAATTTTTTAACAAACTTTACCAAGTTTTATTATTGTTATCTTACTTTTAGTTGATTAAATGACGAAAATCAATTTTTCCAGTTTTGAATAAATCAAATTTTTTCTTTAATTTTTGGATTTTTCGAAATTAAAATTTGCTATTTCACAATTTGTCCGAAAAGTAATAGAGGCTTTCGAGACCTGAATTGCTCGATTATGTATTGTAATAAGTTCTCGATTAAGGATTAAGTTAAATCGTTTTTATTGTTATGAACGTGATGATCGGTTAATTTGTTATGATTGTTATGATTGTTATGATCGACATAATTTTAAAGTAGCTTGCAAGGCTATTGCAAGTGTGGTTTGAATGAAAGATTATATATTATATTATATTCATTATCTACTTATATTATATTCATTATTTGACTACAAAGAGTAATTTATGTTTGTTTAATATTAATTTTCGTTCTTTATATAAAGTTTTGTATTTTTTCTATATTCTATTAATGCAATGTTTCTCAATATTTTAAGTAAAAGTGGCTATGTATATATTGTGATAAAACAAAAAAGTAATTCACTTAAAGTAAACTTTTTTCTATATTCAACAATATATAATAAGTATAATTGAATATAAAATAAAGTAAACTTTTATAAATAAAGTAAGTATAGGAAATAATGTTATACTAATAAAAATTATATTATGTATTATTTTTGTTAACTATATTTCATATTTATATTTATTGTATTATATTAATAAGATTACAAATACTAAATAAAATCATGTATAAAATATATTATATATAAAAATTTGCTATTTTCTACTAATAATATTTAGTGTAATGTTTTAATTACTAGCAACTCTTTGAATATAATAAATTTAAATACCATTTTTGGGAAATATATTTTAAGTTTATTCCAATATATAAATTTTATAATGTCTAAATAAATTATAAGACTCTTAATAAACTTATTTAAGTACTTCAGATTAAGAGGATTACGATCAGTAATATTTCGAAAAGGTTTCAGCTATTTCCGTAACTTTTTGGTAATATTTCAAGAAGATTGCAAATTCTTTCTGTAATATTTTAACAGCCTTTCAACAAAGTTTCTTGTGCAAGAATTGCGGACATTTTGCTATACTAGAGCTGTCTTAGAAATGTTGCAAATATATTTCGCAACTTTTATGAAATGTTTCCTTTTTCAGTTGAAATATTTCTGAGATATTTCTGAAAACTTCTGATGCTGTTTGGGCGAAAATTTTTTTTAATTGTCTATTGATTTGTCCTATGTAAAATATCGCAAATATTCCTATACAGCACAGAATTTGCAGCAATATTGCTCTCTGCAATGTTGCTGCAATATTATAGCAGTGTTATTGCAATGTTTGCTGCAGGGGATTGTATGATATTTTGTAAATGATATTCTTTTGAGAAATTAGAAAAAAAGAATCTTTATGTACCTTAATAATTCCACACAATTAATTTAGACTGAAAGATAAGAGTTTAGAAATTGAATTTTTGTAATAATATTTCTAACTCTTTCAGAAATTCTATGTATGGTACTGTATATCATAGAATTTTTTTTTAATATCTGTAACATCATTAACTCTTTGATTATAAGTTAATCAAATTCTTAATTCTCTCATATAAAGTGTGAAAAATGAATCGTACACAGGTAGTCATTCTCTAAAAATTATTTTTAGATTCTATGTGTATCTAATTAAATTTTTAGATATTTTAGCAAAACCGATTTTATTGAGTATAAATAAAGTTTAAGTATAAAATATTCATCTATTCTCAAATATTGAATAAATCGAAATGTAATAGCCGTGGATAATACGAGATTCTACAATAAATTAACAACACATTTATATCGTCTCATCTATATTGTTTGTAAATACGAAGACGAAAATGACAATTTTAATATAGCTTTACGAATAATATTCAAAAACAAATCCAATTCGAATTTATTTGTTATAGAAGCAACAAGACATTCGACGCAATCATTATAGAACAATTATGGTATCAATGTTATTATGCCCTTGTAAAGCACTACAACTTCCCCGTGCTGATTGGATTTTTGAGCGTAGGCAACTTGCCCTACGTAATGGATTCCATAGGTGAGTATATTATGCATGTCGAACAACTTTCGTGATAACTTTTCGTCGGCCTAACAATTTATTGTTTACGAAAGTCATTTCCCAGCACAAATAACAACTGGGAGTGCGAATCTAGTCGGACAGTCATTCCGCAATGTCTCTACTGGGTTTGCACCTACCTAGGTTGGCATCGTCAACGAACGTCGTTACTGTGCGCGGAAATTGACGTAAATTGTCGTTAAAACAGAAAGTGCGAGCAATCGAAGACCGGGTCTTCTCGTGGAAAAGGATAGATTACTAGGTAGTGCTTTAACTTGTACCGTCTGACCCGAAGAATGTCGGAGAAAAGGTGGCGAAGGATGACGCGCCAGCTCGCCGCCATTCGATTCTTTTACCTCGACGTAATTGAAGATACCCGAAAGTACTCTTCCGGATGAACGTAATAGACCATGAAATGAATTGCCATGGTTGCTACTGAAATATTTCAATTAAAGCCAGGCGAGTTTTGCGAAGGCATTTCGAAGTAGTAACGTTCCACATTGATCTGACACAATCACTATATATTGAGTTTACAAAGAAATAGATATCTGACTGTAATACACTTCTTTCTCTTGACTTGCGAAAAAATTTACAATATAATAATGCGTTTCTCTACTCATCCAGAACAGAAATAAAAAAAAAGGAGTAGTTCTAAATCTTTAAAGAGCGCATCGCGTATTAAAATATTCCTGCTTGTAGTATATCATTCCCTTATTCCAAAAGTGATACAACTAAAAAAATTAAATTTCTCAGAAAAGGAAGAAAACTATTTTTTAATTGGACAGAAAATTATTATTTAATTAAATGTAATATCGGCGAAAAAATTCTTAATATGACAAACGTAATTTTATATCATTTTCATTTTATAACCCTTAATCTTGCTTATCTACTAAAATTATATCATTCGGATCAGTAATAAGTTAAAAAGCTATAAAAATAAAAAAAGATCACAATAAAAGGATCTTACATTAACAAATGAAGTGTACAAATACTACTGAAAATGTTTTTAAATATTACTAAAAAAAAAATAATAAATTATATCAGGGGTGCTAAAGGATTTACGAATTATCGCCATATTATGATCTATTGCTAATACTAACATTTCGTGAACCTTTGCCGTTCATTTCATCAGGATGAGGAACACTGATATTTCCTTATTCTGATGAAGTAAAAAACAACATTCATGAAACGTTGCTATTAGCAATGGATCACGATACGTGACCTTTCAAAGGAAAAATTTTTTCCTTTGCCTCTGAAGAAAAGACCTGTGAAAGTCTCAAAGGTATTAAAATAAATTACGTTCATTCTATAATATCACAATATTGGGCCTAAAAATTCAAACAAGCTAGCAAGATTAAATCTTTTTGATTTGTAACGATTTCTTTTGAATGAAGTTATATTATTTTACTTTTGATGATTGATAAGATAATATTTAATTCATTTATGATATCTAACTTGAAAATTGCATCTTTTCAGTTATGTTATTATATTTTTTAAAATAGAAACGATATAACTTATAAATAACTTCGAAAAATATATATATAACTTATAAGTAACTTGAAGCTACGTATTTCAAACTTTTACATTACACAATTGAATATACCGCTATATTTTATAGCAGCTAGTTTTTGAAACATTTGTTTTATTTAAAAGCTGTTATTACATAACTTATGATTGGCAGGAAATCCAGACGATCCTAACTTTAATCCAGACATGACGTATCCATTCACGAATAGAATGACAATCAATGAGCGGATAATGAATATCCTTTATACAACTTATACAAGATTATATTATCGATACTGGCATCTACCAAAAGCTCAACACATGGCTAACAAACGGATTCCTGGTACATCTGTTTACGACATCGATAAAAATTTCAGTTTAGTGATTCTGGGCAACAATCACGTGTTTGGTTATCCGAAGCCATTACTACCACATATGATCGAAGTTCACAGTTTGCATATTTTGGAAAATCCTGGTTCTTTGCCTAAAGTGAGTAATTATAATTATATTTAAAAAAAAGAAAACATTGATAATATATTGCGTAAGATAGTTTTAATATTCAGTTAGCATCAGAAAATAGATTTTGTATTATATTATTAATATTTGTATTATATTATATAATTATTTAGTACGAAGGTAATATAAATTTGAATTAAGAATGTTATTAATTGTATAATTGTAGGCATGAGATATATTGACAGTTATCTTTCATAACAGCTTCGTTATTTTCATTAATACCTCAATTTCCTTTTTCTTTTTAACCGTTTATTAATTTATAGGAAAGGATTTTGCAATCATTTAATATTGAAAAAATAATAAATTTAAAATAAGGAAATTACGAGTATAAAATGCATAATTATATAAATAAGATGAGGAGCAGATTTTCAAAATACGTTTTGTCGAAAATTTGTAATTTTCAGAAAACAAGAAAGAAAAAAATTACGCACACAAGAAAACTATGTACAGAAAACTATTTTACAGAAAATAATAATATGTCAATCAGTAGTATGTGAAATATTAAACAAAATTGCTAAACAATTGCTAAAAATGTTAAATAAATGCATTTTGTTTGTGTCTCTAGTTAAAAAACGTCACTTCGAAATATTTACGTTCATTCAGCATATAAATTAACAATAAAAAAATGCTTTCTGAACATCTCAGAGTACCAGCTTGTAATATGAGTCTTTCAACCACACACTGAACATTTCTGTAACTAAAAAAATGAAATTTTGGATAAAATGCATTTTGAAAGACTGCTCCTCATATTTAGTTATCTTCATTATTATTATCTAAATCATTTCCATTTGCTTCAGGTTTCTTTTAATCAGTAGCATAATAAGGGAGGGGGGTGTGAGGAGCGATCTGCCTTAGGCGCTGTCTTAGTCGCAAGGGCGCCGTTTTAGACACAAGGGCGTCAATCAGTAGATGAGTGATCAACATTATCAGCAGAAGCATTTCTTGCATGTATAATTCGATGGGATTTCACAGAAATAGTATCAAATTTAACAGTAATCTGAATTTTTATGATCATAAGCGTGAGTGTTGCTACTTGTGAACGAAGTTTTTTAATGTTAAATCTTATTGAAATCTACTTTTGTTTAACAATGAGTCAGATGCAATTACACTCGTCAACAAAATTATTGCAACATATATATCAAAATTTTGCATAACTTCATGTAAGCGTATCTCTGTAAAAAATGGATGTATTTAAAAGTTTTTTTCATTTTCAATGTTTATACGAAGCTTTCAATGGATTTTGAATCAATCTTTATTCTTACCTGGCCTTTTAAAAAATAAGGATTATCATGTTTTGTTTTAAGAAATTTTCGTAGTTTGATGCACTCCATGGAATAAATTTATCGTAAATGTTTTTGTACTTCATGATAACCATGAAGTATGGATTTCTCTCTTACAAATTAAAAAAAAATTAAGCTTTGTACGATTTTTTTTCAAGGAGATACAGTATCAAAATTACCTATGTATTTTAAAATTACTTATGTATTTTATTCAATTATAAAATATCGCCAGCATTAGCATTGCCCGATGTGCCTCACGAGGAGATTGCTGGATCGAGCATGCATGCGTACATGCATATACACAATTTTAAAGAGCAAATATATCCCCACATGTCTCTATCTCTTTTCCCCCTCCACATACACACACACACACACACACACACACACACACGCGCGCGCGCGCGCACACGCACGCACGCACGCACGCACACGCACACGCACGCACACCACACACACACACACACACACACACACACACACACACACACACACAGAAAAACACTGACACACGATGCGCAAAATTCGATCAGCAACCTGCCCGTGGTGTGCATTGGGTAATGCTAATGCTGATAATAATTGAGCAAAATGCATAGGTAAATTTGATACACTGTATCTTCTAAAAAAATCAACAAAGCTTATTTTTTTTAAATAAGAGAAAATTCCATATATTACGACAGTTATCATGAAATTTGCGAAAAAAATTTAGTCCACCCTATAAAGTGCGTCAAATTACAAAAATTTCTTAAGACATATCCTTATTTTTGAAGACGCCAGATAGGAATAAGGATAGATTCAAAATTCTTTAAAGCTTCGTAAAGTACAGACTTTACGTACAGACTTAAAAATAAAAAAAACTCTTAAATGCAACCATTTTTCACAGAGTTATGCTTACTTGAAGTTACGCAAAACTTTGATATAAATTTATAATGATAATTTCATTGACGAGTGTAAATGAATTTGCATTGCCTTTCATTGAAATAGATATAACAAAAGATATAGAGTTCACAGATCCTCAATGGTACCAAACAATGGCAATATTACTGCAACATTGTTACAATATAATGTTGCTACAATTTTGCAATTACATATAATGTTGCTGCAATTTTTGTACTGCTGGAGATGTTATCAAAGAATTTGCAAGAATCTAAGTCCAGAAGATTTAAATTAAAAATTTTTTCAGTTAATAGTATCATTTTAATTTATTCTAGTTTATTTATTCTAGTTTATTTATTCTAGTTTATTCTAGTTTAGTTGGAACAAGTTTCAAATCGGACTGGAAAAAGCGATTTTACATTTTTCATTATAGTTCAATACAGATAGGAGAGATACATCAAAATGGTCTGAAGCGAAAATGAAGGGAATTAAATGATCTTTCTAATAGCATCTTCGGTTTTATGGTCGAACTTTACGTTTTATAAAGAACAAAAATTGCAAAACAGATCCGATTTATCTTACTTTCCCCTTTATATAATATAATTTGATAGTACCCCTTTATACAATATAATTTGATAGTAGGAAAATAGAAAGCCAAATGTGAGCCAGCATAAGTTGTTGATGTGTAAGAATATATTCAGAAATGAAATAAAAATTACAGATGTTTCGACCGTTATTATTATTGGATCATCTTCAATGTAGATTTGAAAAATTTAATTGTGAAAATTATAACATGTAATGATCGCTTACTATTTCGTCAATAGATAAAATATAAAAGTTGTCTGTCGTATTTAATTGAATACTTAAACAATTACATTATCTGCAATATACAATAACATAAAATATAATAAAAAACTTGAAATACTAATACAAGAAATCGTTATTAAAGAACTGGATAAACTTACATTACATATTGACAATGATCAGATAATTTAGAACGTGTATAACAGTAAGACATTTCAGGAGTGTATGACAAGTCAAAACAAAATTGCCGTTACAAAGTGAGGAAAAATAATAAAATAAATAAATAAAAACAGAAAGTCAAGCAAGTTATAATAATAAAGTATTAATTATAAAACTTTGAAAAATCAATTCTTTAAAATAAATCATGGTACAAAGAATCCAACATTTCCTCTTGTAAATTTAGACCATTCTTTTGTTTCTTAATGTAAATAGATTCAGAGATTAATCACTTATTGTAATTCTTTTCTTTATCTAAAATCTTTATATTGTTCTAATCAAATTCGTGATTATATTCCAATCTTTGTTCAGTAATAACCGAGTATTGATTAGTATATCTATTGATATGATTACGATGTTCTGAAACTCTAGTTTTCAATAACCTTTTCGTTTGGTCTACGTAAGAAGTGTTACAATCCGAACAATTAATTATTAATTTATATTCTATATAACTACGTTAGAATATAAAAAAGAATGTAATTTGTTGTTTTGAACTCTAATGAAAGAACTTAATTTATGTAATCCCACGTAGGCCAAGCTAACAATTTTGTTATTTTTGAAAAATCTTTTGAATTTTTTTGATATTGATGGAACACAGGACACAGTAAAAAAAGTTATTAAAGACTTAATTGCAGATCGTGAATTTTTATTTGTACTAATTTCGTTGTTATTAAGTTTAATGTTTAATTTTATGTACAATTTTTTTTTATATAATTAAATATTATATTGAGAAGATATCCGTTATTCAATAAAATATCTATTACTTATCAAAAGTTTTTTTTCATGGAAACTGGGATTCCTGCTTAGTTTTCTACCTTCCTATGATTTATTGTTTGAAGCCTTCAGATTGAGATTTGATAATTTAATAGATTATTTGTTAATTAATCTATTAGTGATTGCCACTAAATAATAATAAATAGTATAGTAATATGCTAGTAAATAATAGTTTAATTGAAAAAGGCATGGATGGGAGAACAAAGAGCCCCGGGCGCTACTATCCTTTGCTACGTCACTGCTTTTAATCATATATTTACAGTAAAAGACATTTAAATTATAAAATGAAATTAAACAATTTAACGGGTTAAACACACGATATTTTTCCTCCTTGAATAGCATCTAGAATTGATATTTTTATGTCGATTAAACCTTTGCTTCTCGTAGTTCTAAGTACATCTCAGAAAGGCGAAATTGTATGTCGTATGAGAATGATTTCTCTCGGGAAAATACCATTCTCACAGGTAACCAATAATAGTCAGTTAGTAGAAGTTTACCAACAACTCAGCGTAGCGATGTAAAAGTAAATGTCATTGCTATTTACCGCGAACCATTCTAAGTCTCCTAAGGGATGACAAGAAAAATATTATTGAAAGAGTATTTCCTTGAAGATCCTTCACGTAGAAAAAATAACCGAGGAATCGCTCTATATAATATTACAATAGCTGTTTGAGACTCTTGTCAATCTAGAAGTGTGCTATCGAAAATATTCTTTTATAATAATTATTTAATATTGTTGATGTATTAAATTGTGAATTAACAATTTAATCATTGAAAGTGCATTTCTCCTTTTTAACTTAAAATTAAACTAACGTTTATTGGTTTTAATTAAAAATTAAATATTTTAACAATTAAAATATTAATGTTCGACTTCTTAAATTTAAATTATACAATAAATTAGTATAAAGGCTGTGTGAGTTAACAGTGCGGTTAACAGTGCGCAAATTATAATTATGCGCTGACTCACATAGCCTTTATATTAATTTATTATTAGATGTTTTGTTAAAACTTTTTAATTATTATACT